GGCAGGACCTCCCAGGGTGAGGTCCCAGGCCCGCGCCTCTGCGAGCGCTAAGCTTCCCTGTGGCTTTTTAAAAAACGTGCTCTTAGAGCCAAGACACTCTGACAACTCAACGTTTTAAAAATGAGAGTCCTCCTGGATTCCTAGGGGGGCCTGGCACCGAAGGGCAACATTTTTATAGGCCAGTTCCCCGCGAGAGCCGCGAGAGCCGCATTGATCTTCCGAGGGGCCGCTGCCGCGCCGGGCGCGCACATGATGTATCCCACAGCTTCAAAGGAGAGACGACGTGAGGAGACCTTCGCGCCGGGAGCGGGCGGTCGAGAAGGGAATCCTATTTTTAAATGTCGAAAGGAATATCCAGGCAAAGTACAAAAACTGAGCAGGAGCTCAGACACCGTGAGCACAGCTCCGCCCCAGCACAGACCCCAGGAGCGCGTAAGCCGTGAAGCTGGTCGATGTGTTCCGATGACAAACCGTTCAGGGACAGAACCAAGGTGGGTTCAATGATAAAACTGAATAGTGAAGCCAGTGACCACAGAGCTCCGTTCCCAAGCCGTGTCCTCACAGGCGGCTCCCCCCAGACACGGCCACAGGCACTGCCGATGCCCCTGAGCTCTCGGCTCCAACCCCACGTGCGAGCGAGATGGCCCTCGAGACCGCGTGGCCTCCACCCATGAATAGGACACAGGCCCAGAGAGGGCAGCCACATGTCCGTGGACACACAGCAGCCCAGCGACTGGGGGTGCCTCTGACTGGGGGTGCCTCTGACTGGGTTGCCTCTGACCCGAGGCCACTGTTTCTATCCAGGCTACTCCACTGGCCTCGGACAGACAGCGGTGGGACCGATGCTACAATGACCCGCCTCTGACCTGCGCTCCAGGAGAGAAACAGAGCTGAGCCCCCGCCCTGCCCCACCTGAGGCTTCCAAAGGCGCCAGGTCTGCGGGGAGCACAGACCACCACCGAAAGCTCGGTCCTCCTTCGTGTCTGGGGGCCGCGGGCAGGCCCGCCTCCAGCACCAGCTCCAGCTGCCTGTGCTGTCCCCGGGCCCACGACCCTGGAGCCGCAGGACCAGGCCCACCTCCGTGCCTCCTGCTCCCGGCCTGAGCGGGGCTGAGCGTTTGCTGAAGCCAATGAGTGGTGTCCAACCATCATGACAGCAACAGATGACAGGGGCACTTGGAGAGCTGGCTGCCTCCCCTCCCCTCGCGGTCCCCTTGCACGGCCCCAGCCCACCGCCTCCACCCTCGGCGCCCGTAATAGCTTAACGCGCTTCGCTCTCCGGGCCAGGAAGCCAAGGGAGGTGGGAGTGGGCAGAACGTATTTCTCTGGCTCTTAAGGATCCCATTTGACAGTTAAATAATAACGAGATGCCTTTAAGCGCTTGCAGATGATGCGTTGAGCCATTCCCCGAGAAGGCGCGTCGTTTAGCAGGCTCGCAGAATTGATCGCCTGGCCACAGTCTGAGGGGCCGGGGCCGGGGCGGGGAGCGGGGAACTGCAGAGCGCTGGCCTCACCTCATGGGGGTCACAGGGCCTGGGAACCTCATCCCACGAGCAGGACCTATGTCTCCCTTGGGATCCCCAGCACCCTGGCTGTGTGCCAGCCTCCCCGTGCCCAGGGGCACTAACCAGCCGGACGATGCCAGCAGTGCCCGGCTCCAGCCAGCCTCCGGAGGCAGGGGTGCTGGCGGGGCTGTGGAGGGAGAATGGGACCCTTGTCCACACGCACTCCTAGAGCCAAGCCCCTGCCAGTGATGCCATCTCAGCGGTGGGGCACCCTCTGCCAGCCCTTGGCCAGGAGACTGTGGCTGGGACCCCACTCATCCTCGGCAACACGTTTGTTTTAAAAAATATATACATATTTGTATTGCTTTCCGAGAGGAAGGGTGAAGGAGAGAGAGAAACAGCAATGAGGAGGGAAAATCATTGACTGGCTGCCTCCTGCATGACCCCCACTGGGGATGGAGCCCACAACCCAGGCATGTGCCCTGACCGGGAATCAAACTGTGACCTCCTGGTTCCTAGGTGGACACTCAACCACTGAGCTATGCCGGCTGGGCCAAAATGGCTTCTGAAATCACGCGACTTAGGCCTTACCGCACCCCACTTTTCCAATGTGCTCTCCCCGCTGTACCCACACAAGGTCCCACTTCAGAGACTAGAACACCAAGGCCCAGGGAGGGAAGCGACCGGCTCAGGCGCCACAGCGGGAAGGTGGGAGGCGGGGCGCCAGGTCTGCGGGGCTCCAGCGCCTTCCCCTCTGCCCGCGGAGAAGGCCGGACTGTAGTCCCGCAAGCGCCTCCGACCCAGGACCTGCACCCGGGCTTTCCCCACAGCCTCCATCTCGGCGGCGGCCGGCTGGTCTGTCCCCTGGAGGGGGCTGTGCGATCCTGGCTCGGGGACCGGAAGTGGCTCAGCCGAGGCCCGTGGCCACCAAGTGGCAGTGCCCGCGGGCAGGCTCTGGGTTGGAGGGAAGCTCCCACCACCGGGCTCTGAGCTCACAGAGATGTGGGACCCCACGCTGCAGTGGGCACCGGAGGACAGCCGCCTGCGTAGGGGCTGGGCGATGACTGCCACGGTGCAACGTGGGTGAGGGAGGAGAGAACGGGGCCCCAGTGGTCCTGCCCTAGGAGAGCCGGGGTGCGTATTAACATGGCGGTACAGCTAGAGTCCGAGGGGCTGGGTTCTACGGAGGGTCCCCTCCAGGGGGTCAATGCTACCGACCAGGAAGTGGTGCCCTGGGCTATTCTGAGTTTGCTTTCCCTGGGACACCCCGAGCCCTCTAGGGACCCTCCCATCTGCTTTCCTCATATCTTTCTCTGTGAAAGTTCCAGTCAGTTTTTCCAACATGTAGGAGATGCGGAGAGACTGTACCAGGTGGAAGTCATACAAAAGGGTAAGGATGGTGAGCCAGCTGCCACTCTCTGTGCCTGCGCTTCCCTTTCTAAGAACGAACATTTGTGGTATACACTGGCACGTTGCTTCTAAGGAATTCCAATTTATGCTTCAACCAGCCAGTGACGCTGCCTGCACTTGAGTCCCGACTCAGCACACTTCCTGCTGGATGGTAATTGTGTCTGTCTGTCTGTCTGCCTGGCTATGTTGTCTGCATGTCTGTATCCATCCACCCATCCACCCACCCATCCATCTACTCATCCACCCAACCACCCAACCATCCATCCACCCATCCACCAACCCATCCACCCATCCATCCACCCATCCACCCACCTCCCCCCACACACATGCATCCACCCATCCACCCATCCATTCACCCACCCATACACCCATCCATTCACCCATCTACCCACCCACCCATCCATCCATCCACCCACCCATCCACCATCTCCCTGTTCTTTGTCACTCCCTTCCCCCTTCCATCCATCCAACTCCAACACCACACATCACTGGGTGCCTGCTATGTGCCTGGTCCTGGTCTGGGCTTTGAGATGGGGGTGCCGATGGACCTTGGGGAGGCTCTGACCTCTAGGAGCACGGGAGATGTTTGATGAGTGAGTGGGTGGCCAAGTGAGGTAAGATGCTCTCCCAGAACTGCACTGCCTGGACAGCTGCTCACGCCTAATGCTGACATCATCAC